AATGCTACAAATATTGAAAAATTTTAAATAAATTAAAAATAATAATAAAACTTGCTTATGGCGACGAAATCGTTTTTGTCGTCAAAGACCTCTCGCGACGACGTTCTAACGACGATTTTCGCAACAAACAAATTTTACCGCCAAAGGTCAAAAATTCATGTAGTGCAAAATGTTAAAATACAGTAGTCAAAATAAACTAAAATCAAAATTACAGAGACTAAAATTTGAACCTAATAATAATTCAGGTGAGTTAGCTTGGTCCTTGTCAACAATTCGGGATAATGTCCCTGAATTGTTATAGCTTCTATTTGAAGACAGAATAAATAATGTTTATAAACTTATTTTTCAAAAATATAAAATAAGATTATGCATATATGATATCTTCATCATTTGTTTCCTTATTATCAACATTCAACAAAATTAAAAATCAATGCCAATTTTTTATATAATAAAAAACAGTTGTACTAAAAAACCTAGGAACTCTTTTCTAAATGTTATTGGAGACTAAAATCTTAAAAAAATATTGAATGAAATAGAATTAAAAGAGATCTATGCAATGTAATATCTTGAGAAAAACATAACCCTTTTAATTATATATATATATATATTTTGAATTAGACTTCATTCAAGAAAATTTGACAATCAACTTCAACACAGCTAACGCCTCTTAGAGCAGAATTGCTAGCTATCTACGAAGGTGTTCTATTCGCCCAAAAATTGGGGGTAATCAGGTCATTATCGTATTGGATTCAAGCACAACGATAAAGATGGCAAATGGAGAAATTTCGGACCTAAGTGGGGTGCCTTGTGCACGAACATCCCGACTTTATCTTCCTCCTTGCAAACGGATTTCCTCTTTCAGCATAGCCCAAGGATGCAAAACGTCGTCGCTCACAAGCTAGTGACAGAAGCAGTCTCGAAGAACTCCTCAGTTTCTTGGTTGAGTTCGTTCCCTTCTTGGCTTGTCCAAGAAGCTTATTTCGATGATACCCAAGTTGTAGCTACGTGGCAATGAATTCTCATTAATGCAATGGCTATAATTAAAGACTTTCCGGCCAAACAGAGAGCAACCTTGTTTTATTCTCTACAAATATGTCAAAAGAAACAAATTTTAAATGATCGGGCTAAGAATTTCACATCTTCAATCCAAGAATTTCACTAACGTCAAATTGGGTCGGCCATCTTGAACTAATTAAACTAACTTTTGGAAAATTTGTGATCTAATCCTGTCTATTGTTGGAATCATATCCAACTCAAGAAAGCTTATAACTAAACTCAATCTGTGGATCATTCTTTCATGTTATTAATTAGCTTTTTATTAACTCATAACTTAACCTGAAACTTTGAAAAAGAAAAAAAAATTTAAACGTATTAATTTCATTATTTATTCAAACTTAAAGTTTAATTTAATAAATAAAAATGTAAGATTATGACTTTTCAAAAATAAGAGGCTAATAAATGAATTTCATTTTCTAAAAAGTATTTGTTAATACATATGAGAAGATTATTAATAAGAAGCTTTATTTTTTCAGTACAACAATACGTGAGAGTGAGAATTTCAACCCACGACCTTTGGTCGATAATATATGTTTTAATCAATCCAGCTATAAGTTTTCAATTTTTTTAAAAAAACATATATTTATTCACATCTTTTTATTGTATATGATCTATTAAAAAAAATTTCAAAATATAAGACTAAATTTTTAAATTTTATTTTTAGAAATATATTATAGATTCGAAAATTTGACTAAAAATTCGGGAGTGCTTGCAAAAGAGGTAAAAAAGAAAAAAAACAGTGAAACAAAAGGATCCTCGGACATAGAAAACTAAAAATGAAATCATTATTAGATATATTATCTAGAGAAATAATTTTTAAAAAAATTAAAAAATTGAATTCTTTTTTTCCCAGATCTAAAAAAGTTATAAGATTTTATTGAGTACTGCTACGTCAACATAAAAAAGTTAAAAAAAATCAATAAGGAAATACCTAACTATCTTTTTGTTACGTATTAAATTTTGGTCTTAAAAGCATAAGGTTGTGCCTTCGATTGTTCCAGAGTCAACATTCCTATATATCCATAAGTTTGATGAGGGGTGAATGGACATTTCCATAATATTGCAACACATAAATAAAATATCAATAATATAGAAATATTATTAATAGTAATAATTTTAAACTTATTTAAAAATAGTAAAATATTTTTTATAAATTTAAATATTCCTTGTGATATTTTTATTTTTTAATTAAAATATTCACTAACATTGATATTTACTAATATTTCTTTCAATATTTCCATAAAATTGAGATATTGGTATTTTCATCAACACTAACCTTTTAAACTTTGATTATCATCCCACTTTGAATCATGATTAAAACGGTAAGATTTTAAGCTTAGGCATCAAATGAAACTATTTGAGAAACATCAATAACTAAAAAAATATTTATCTACATACATTTTAAATAGAAGTCAAAAATTTTAAATCGGTTAATTTATACTTTTATACATTTATCAATTTTTTTTCTTTTTTCTTTTTGAAAAGAATACATTTATCAATTTGATCCTTATAGGTTTAAGTTTATTAATATAAATGGACCCAATCGTTACATTAAATTGAACAAAAAAATTGACCAAATACTCTCATAAAGGTATTTATGTGATTAGATTATTAAAGTAAATTAAAGTACAAAATAAATTGAACTAATTTTAAAGGTATGTGAATTAAAGTGAGACAAACATGAGATTATATTGAAAACAAGTATATAATTTAACCTTTTAAATTCAAATAATTACTCTAAAATTATGGACACTTCAATACTTGAATTGATAGAGTTGGGAGATCGTGAGTAACATTTTTTTACCTTTGCTTTTTTTCTTTTTTTTTTT